TGCTTTCGAGTAACTCCGATGCGACTTTTCTGGAAATGTTCAAATTTTGTCATATATAAAGTTGAGAAATCTAAATAAACATCTAAATAATAAATCAGACAATTTTTACCTCTATTCACACATACTTTGCATTTGCTCTAGAATGTTGCTATAAAGGCTTTAAAGCAAACCTATGATATTAACTCTTCTAAGATATGCTTTTCTATTTACAAAGAATTTATAATGTTTGTGTTCGTCGGCATCGTAGTAGACATCACCAGTGAGTCTAGCCTTTTTGAATTGTTGCGAACATTATGGTATTATTCCCCGATTATGCAATCTAATGAGGAAGCGTCATTCGGACACAGTTAATGAAATACTTTATCACGCCTCTATCTAGAAATTACAGGAAAGTTAGGAGACTGCAAGGCGTAAGCTATTCAAGTTCATAGATCTCAAGTCTAGATTAAGGAAGGATCTAGATAGGGTTCTCACTTTGGATGATTTTCAAAAAGTCAAGAGCATGACAGACCAGAAGTCACAAAGGGTTCGGGATCTGATAAATAAGAGGCATGACAAGAAATTGATCAGCTATGGGATAATAAGACAGCGCAAGACCAAGCCAACCTAGGCAAATTTTGATGGTTCTTTATTGAAGGCACCAACTGCTACAGACGACGATAGAACAAAGATAGTAACCTATCTTCAATCCCTCTTGATTCTGAAACTACGATCTCTTAGAGAAGGGGTTACATTTTTCACTAGGTAATGAAGGAAACATTCTTAGTGATATTCTGGTGAAAGTTGTCAACATAACGGATAAATATCCTAAAGAATGATCAAACACTTCTTCAGGCGGATATGGGGGGGGACGACGGTTGTAATGGCCAAGAAGCAATACACGGAGAAAATGGAAAGTATCCTTGGCGACCGGAATACTTATCAAATATTTAGGAAGGATCCAACCACGAAGATCAACGGGTCACTGAAGAATATGATCAAGGAAATGCATAATAATGGGGAAATTGACAAATGGAGGATGAAATCTTTAATCAAAAATGATGCAAGGCCACCGACGGCCTACTGACTACCGAAGATACACAATAAAGGAAATTCACTAAGACTAATAGTCAACAACAAGCACGGAGCAATACACAAACTAGAGAAATTTATTTGTTTAAAACTCAAGAAAGTAAATAACAGGCTCAAATACCGTCAAAAATTCATATGAGTTATCTCAG